GGTGAGGGGCCTGCACTTGCCCCAGCTTCCGAGACTGAGGACCCCCAGATCCTTCTTGTTCCCTGATCAAGACAGGTGGGTATTCGTGGGTCTGTGCGGGGTGGGGGTGGGGAATAGGATGACGTGATCCATGGGGGTGGGGGTGGGGCTTAGTGAGGGGATGGGGATCTGGTGACGTTTGGACAAACAGAGCTCAAATCCTGTCCTCTGGCATGCTGTGTGTGTGTGTGTGTGTGTGGATGTTTGTGGTTAAGTGCAGAGTGAACACGTGTGTGCCCAGGTGTATGTGGTTGTGAATAAGTGGGCAAGAGAGCAGGGCTGCAGGGATATGCCAAGTGGGGAGGGGATGGAAGCTGGCCCAAGTACAAGGGTGAGGGAACTTCAAAAAGTTCATGGGAAGATTCGTATTATCTTCTAATCCTATTTTTCCACAAATTTGTTTTTTTTTTGGGGGGGTGCTGGCTGGTATGGGGATCCAAACCTTTGACCTGGCTGTTACAACACCGTGCTCTAACCAACCGAGCTAACTGGCCAGCCACCTCCATGAACTTTTTGAAGTACCCTGAAACATGGCTGGAAAGGGATGAGGGGCTGGGAGTACCATTGTGAGGGATGATGGAGACCCCTCCGGTGTCCTGCCCTCCCTGTCTCTGCCTCAGAACTTAGGGACCTGGCTATAAGATCTCTCCACTCCCACATGAGCCCCTTACATTTGGAACTAACCCCTCCTGCCAGCCCTGGCCTGGCCCCTCAGCAGCATGTCCCAGCCTGCTGTGTTGAAAGCAACTGGGACAACTCTGTGGCAGAGAGTGAGTTATATGGAGCTCAGAGTGGGTACCAGCTGGCTATCTGGGGGCCCTGGAGCCCACCTCAGGGAACAGCCCATCTACCCAGACCAACAGCCAGAGTCCTGAGCATCACCCTCAGTACCCCCTCTCCTCTTCCACTCCCACCTCTGGGCAGTCCAGGTGCTTCTACCCCTGTGCTGGGTGACTTCTCCAGCCCTGCCCTGGCCACCTCCACAGCCCACTGAGCATTTCACTATGTCCCCATGGGGCTCCTTGCCTCAATTCTGTTCCCCTCTGATCACTCTGTCTCACTTCCTGAGTGACCATTCCCACCTGCAGATCTGACTAGGTCATCTTCCAAGGCCTGAGTATCACTGTAGCCTGGCCTGGACCGCAGCTCACCTGCAGCCTGTCTCCCCCCTCACTTCTAGATGCAATGTAGGAGCCCCGTATTGGATTTTCAGAAATATGCCACACATTCTCACCTCTGGGCCTTCTGTATGAACTGCCCAACCCCAGGCCCAGTCTGCCTCCTTTGATACTGGAGACTGAACTAAGCTTACCCCTAATGCCTACCCTCACATAGCCCTGCCTGCTCCCTTGCCTGGCACCCCAGCGATGGCGGCTCTCCAAGGGCAGGGGCTGTGACTTGTTCACTGGCGAAGTCTCCTGTAAACACTCATCCCTTCCCCACTTCCAGCCTCACCTTCTCCAGCCCTGGTTCTGATCCTGGCTCCAGCATGAGGCCAGCCCAGCACTGGGCTCTTTACTGGTCCTGGGCAGGAGTCCCAGATCCAGACCCTGTTCTCAAGCCAAATTGGTCATCCTCAGTCTTGAACCTGGACACTTGAACTCCTGTTTTGGCCACTGTAGGTGGGAACCCAGAACCGTTTGGCTCCTTCTGGAAGACGGAGGCAGATAGGTCTCCAGTAACCACTGCTCTCCTCCGGGGTCCCTGAACGGTGTATGTGACCTCCATGGAGTTGTCCGCAGAGAGTAGCCACACCCAGGCCCAGGCAAAGAGAGAGGTAAACCCCACCCCTGAGCTCACTCCTGCCAGAGGCAGCCTGTTTGCTTTGCATGTGCCCACGTCCCCCTGTGCGGTAGCTGCTGGGTGCGTGTGTGAGGTGTGTAGGTCTGCATCAGGTAGGAGCTGTAGGAGGACTGTAGCAAAAGTCCACTAAGGACTCGACAGTCCCCCAAACAAGGTCCCTTCAGACCTGGCAGTGCCAGTGCTGGTCAGGAGAGGGGGTTGAGACCTCCAGGCTGAGCACCTTGCCTGGCCCCTTCTCTGTTGATTGCCTCAAGGAAAGACGAAAGGCCTGGAGGGACCACGACTTTGCTCCTCTTCCTCCAGAGATGCAGCCACACAGAGCCCCAGGCTCTGGAACTTCCTTCTCCCGCAGCCACGTGCTGGGGCGCCCTACCCACCCCTCAAGGCTCCCTGGAGGGGTGTCCCCCCTCATTCCTGTCCTCAGGAAGACCATCCATCTGGATGCCTTTCCCCAAAGCCATATTCCACAGACTTCCAGCCGATTGGGCCTTGGAGCCAGAGCCCAGAGTGAGTCCCCACAGGAGACTGGCATTGCCCCAGGAGCTGCCCTGAAACCCCTGCCTGCCAACAGCCTTGTGCCCAGGAAGCTCAGCTCCATCTCCTTAACACTCCGTCAGAACAGCCAAGCACGGCCTCTGGACCCTCTACTTTCTCACTGGAAAGAGTTGCCCACCCCAGGCAGGGAGTCTGCCATTCACAGAGAAGGGAGGCTGTCCTCTCCAGGCTCACCACCCATGACCCTAGTGCCAGGGGGCCGGGTCCACTCCAAAGGCCCAGAGAACCCAGGTCTGACCAAACCCAGCAAGATGTCCATAGTGGAGAAGCCTCTGGTGAGTTCATACCTCGCCTTACCTTTCCAATCCCGGTTAGCCAAGGGTTCATCAAGCCTTGCTGGGCCAGGCCCACTGGGTCAGGGGCACCCTGTACCAATGACTGCTCACACGCCTACCAGAGCTTCTCCAGGAAGAAGCAAGTCCCGGCCCAGGGGTAGCCCCAGATCCCGGCTGCGTCTCCAAAGGGCCACCCCTGTTATGAATTTGTCTTCTGTGGACACAAGGCCAGACATAGCCAGACACTTAGTGACAATGGCCAAAAACAGACCTAGCTTGGCTATCAATCTGGCCACACCAAACACATCCAGATGGGACACAGGCAGAGAGTTCCCCACTCTGAATACCAAGGTGGACACAGTCATGGACTTGTCTACAGCTGGCACAGCCAAGTCAGGCAAAGCCATGAACGTGGCTCCAACAGGCACTGCTATGAATTTGACCACAGTAGGGGCAACCAAGCAGGGCGTAGTCATGGATCTGATAACCTCAGACCCAGACAAGCTGGGCAAAGCTATGGTTACAGCAGGTACAGCCAAGCCAGATATGACCACAGGCAGCACAGCCATGGATCTGGCAACACTAGATCCAATGAAGCTGGACACAACCATAGCTACACTGGGCACAAACATTTTGGGCACAGCTATGACTTTGGTTAGAGCAAATACAGCCAAGCTGGGCACTACTATGGATCCTCTTGCTTTGGACACAAGCAGGCTGGGCACAGCCATGGGTTCAGGTGTGCCAGTCACCCCAGACTCAGCCATTGGGACCACACTGGATGGTGTCAATAACCTGACCACATCAGACATTGCTACCTACTCACTGATGCCAAGCAGAAGCACAAGCCCTGCCCTGGACCGTGCTACAACAGAGGCTGCCACACTGGACCTGGCCAAAGAATCCAAAGGTACATGCAGAGAGCTTTGTTGGGGATATACTGGGCTGCTGGCGGGGAAGGCAGGTTTATGAGCCTGGAGATGGATCACGCTTGGATAGGTTGGGAAAGGGAGGGAAGACTCTAGGGTCAGAGTTGAATGGTTAGGGGAGAAGGGAATGGGAATTGAGGGGCAGAACATAAGAGGTGTACCTGGAGTTTGGTCCCAACCTGCCAGTTAGAGGTCAAGCTGGGAGAAGCCATCAAAAGGAAGATTTCCAGGGAGGAGCAATTATCCCGAGTCCTCTCTTTAGCATCTCTCATGGTTGTTTTTTTGTTCTGTGAAGAGCTGGAATAATCAGGTGATGAGTTAGAGGTCAAGCTGGGAGAAGCCATCAAAAGGAAGATTTCCAGGGAGGAGCAATTATCCTGAGTCCTCTCTTTAGCATCTCTCATGGTTGTTTTTTTGTTCTGTGAAGAGCTGGAATAATCAGGTGATGAATAGGTGAGTCTAGCTTTAAAAGCAAACCTCCCACATGAAAATACAGACTAGCACTTCAGTGAATGGTGATTTGTCTCACAGTAGTCATCATTGCAGCACTTCTCCAGATGTGAGAAAATGACCTCACCTGAGACCTACTAAATCCATTCACACTCAGCCTTTTTAGGAAGACATCTGTTGCTTAAAAGCTGTCCTGCCTGGAAGTCTCTTTCTTGGCTCTCCAGCCCCAGCCCCTTAGTCCTGAAAGGTAAGGTGGAGACTTGTATACTAAGGTACTTCAAAAAGTTCACAGAAAGATTCATATTATCTTTTAATTCTATTTTCCATTGACTTTTTGAAGACAGTGGAAGTCCTACACAGAACTATAAACAGGTCAGCAAAAGGGCTCGAAGTTCATTTGGTCTCAGAGAGGCTGTGGCCTGCCTAAAGTCACACCAAAGCTGGTTTGTGGCAGTAAGCTGATTGGAACCCAGATCTTGGAATTCTACTTTGGGCAGCCTCATTCCCAGCATTTCAAAGGCTCAGAGATTCTGGGTCTGGAAAGGTGCTTGGACAACATCCAGTCCGATGCTTAAATTAGGTCTTTGTGTTGCCAGACCCCTTCTCATCCCACTCTGCACACTCAGTCTGGGACTCCACCCTGGCTCTGTGACCTCAGCTCTCCCTCCATCTTCAGTCTGGCCTTCTCTCCTGAAATGGAGACGTGGACGGCCAGCGGCCCGCTGGACTCCTCTACCTGGATGTCTCAGCCATGTCCAGAGGCAGCCCTTGTCGTCCTGAACTGACTCCCGCCCTCCCCGATCTCACTCTCAGCGGCAGGCACTGCCACCTTCTATCTCATGACTAGAGACCCGGGTGTTCTCATTCTTCTCTCTCCATCAGATCCAGTCGATTTCCAATCTTGCTGATTTATCTCCTAAGTACTTGCCTGTTGGCTATCTGTACCCTCCTCTTCATCTCTCTGCCCCTGTAAGGCCACCCCCTCGCCCCCAACAACTGCCACGGCGTCTCACATATTTGATGGCAGTACTTTTGGCTTAACATTGGTAGGTGACTCACCTTCCCTTAGAGTTGCTCCTTAGCCTGGCGTCCAAGGCTGCGGACTTCACCTCTGAGCTCTGTATCCCCGTCTGGAATTTTCTCTCCTTCAGTCACGCCCCAGAGCTCTGGGCTGTCACCAGCCCCATGCAGCCTCACCTCTGGAACTCCTCACCTCTGCTGCCCACTCTGCAGAATGCCCTTCCGGTCTTCCTTCCCACCATCTCCCTCACCTCCTCTAAGAAGTCTTCCGCAGCCTCTCTCTCTCCAGGGTGCCCACCTGTGGGCATCCGTGCAGTACCCTGTGCAAACCCCACCCCCTGCATTGGGACAGTCCTCTTTCTGTCTCCTCCACTAGGCCCAGAATCTTTCGAGGGCAGGGATAATCTTTCTCATTCTTGTGCTCCCAGGGCCTGGCAATATGCTGTCCATTAATGTTGACTGAATGCACGAAAGATTTTTCTGATGGGTAAACTGAAGCTCAGGGAAGTTCCTGACTAGGCCAAGGTTAGAGGGCTCATCATCCCTCAACTGGGCCCGGAACCCGGGCCCCTGACTCAGGGCTCTCCAGGCGCCGGCGTCTGGCCAGAACCGCGGTGAGCCCGCGCAGCACCCCAACCACCGCGTGACCCACACGCGCGCACGGCCCGCGGCAGCTGCCACTGGTCCCCTGCGCCCCCAGCCCTGCCCCGGTCTCGAGGGTAAGGGGCCACGATGGAGAGGGAAGAACTGGACCGAGATGCGGGCATCTTCCCCGGCCGA